AACCATTTCATATTCCTTCTGAAATGCACACTAGAAATGACAATGCAGGGTCTATTTAAAAACACTAAACCTCCTCTATTCTGTGTTTTTGGACAAAAATGTCTGACAAGTTGTGTCAAAGATGCTACTTTTAGCATATTTTTTGCGTCCGACGTGTAACTACATCACGTTGTGTGATCACTGATCAGTAAGGTCAAATCCAAGAACTAGGCCATTCAATGAGAAGACATCACAGGTGAGCTTTGCTCTGCAATGAAGTCATACAGTTTCAGATGTAGCTGAATGTTATGAGTGGAAAAAGAGGCATAGTGTACAAGGGACCTTGTTTGATGTAAGACGCATAGCAAAAATACCAAATGACTAGAATTAATAAAAAAAAATGATTGTGTCATTAAACAGCTCTGTACTGTACTGTTATTGCACATGTTACAGTGCAATTAAAAATGCACTATTTCATTTCCAGCGCCCAACACCAAGGACACAGAAGCCATCTTTTACCAGTGCAGGCTGTCAGACGAAACCACAGATCCTGCATTTGGAACACAACTGTCACTGAAAACTCTAGGGCCACATTTCAGAAGTAAAGGTAAGTTAAATGTTTACACTGCCATGCTCGCAAATTTCTGTAAGAAATGTAATTCAGCAAACAAAGTTGGCAGTATTGTTAATTTCTTTATTTTTCACTCTAAGGCACACAGACAAGCATGGATTTCTCTGAAGTTGTAGCTGGTACTTCAACAACGGGCTCTTCACACCACACATTTTGCGACCTCCACACCAGCGAAGCGCCAACATTTGTCGGCTACACCAGAAGAACAGCTCACACCTATAAAGAGACCTCGTTTGGATGAGACCACAGACGCTGACGACACTTTAGAAGGCAGTAGTTCAATGAACATCGTAAGCCCACAAGATAAAACATATGACCCTCTGGCGTCAATAAGTGCTTTGACGGACGTCACTGAACACACGTAAGCTATCCAACACCAGCATTTATTTATATTCTTTCAGATACATTCACGAATTATTCATTAATTATTTGTTTTATATTCACTTTAGAAAGGACACATCAGTTCCAGCATACAGTATGAATACCTATATATGAGAAATGCCCTGTGTACGAACGAGCAACAAGGGTGCAGACCAGAAGAACTGGCACTTTTCGATGTCTCCACTGTGATTATCTTAGAAAATGGAATAGTCAGCCATTACACGGAGGTACTCCGGTGGGGAATCTTCAACTTTCTGTTGCTGTTTATTCAAACGGTGGATCATTCTTCAAATTGGAAAAAGTAATGAATAACTCACAATATAAACTTCCAAAATACGGTATATATTTACACATGTTTTGTTTTTTCTTAGATTTTACAGGCAATGAAACTTCAAATGTTCCACCACTTCACATTCCGACGGCATGCAAGACTGTATATTGAGCCAGCTGTTGTACATACGTGGAAATCATCCCAGGATGGCACGATGGAGGAGCTAAAACAACAACCTGCCATACTTGGTGGTGACATGAGGGCTGACTCTCCAGGTAAATAACTATCCTTTATTTGATTTTGCTGTAACTATAAATTTTATCTGATTAGTTACATTCACATAGTGCTTCTAAAAGGTCATTCGGTGAAGTATGACTGTTATACCATGATGGACCTGAGGAGCCAGAAAATAGTGGATTTGCAACTCGTTCAGGTTTGTGCAGTGATGAGAAATATTTCAAGAAGTTATTATCTGTTAGAGATCCACAAAATAATTTGTAATTCCTACTGCAATTAATTAATAATGTTTTTGTTTTTTTTTGCACAAGCAGAACAATGAAGTTGGTGGAAGTTACCACATGGAGCTTGAGGGTCTGAAATGCAGTCTGGGTGTCTTAAAAGAACACAATTATACCTTTGGACTGCGTTGTTACAGGAGTTCACCTTGGAGATTATCCATAGGAAGGGCTCCGACAACGTCATCGCCAACGCTTTGTCCCGGGTTTTGACTCCAGAGGCTCCCTTGTAGGACAACGATCCACACCCCTTTGGGTGTGGACCCCTTTTTGTTCGTAGTGTTGGACGCAATGAAGGGTAGTGCTGTCTGCTTCGGCGGGCATCTCGGGAACACTCAGCAGGGCCGGGGAGCAGCCCTGCTGATAATTTGTGTTTAATCAGCCCCCTTCACGTGTCCATGAAGACCAGGGTGAGTTAGCTAGACGTTTTCATGTGTAGATAGCGGGAGACCTCGTTTGAATAAATGTCAGCCCCCATTTATTCTCTTGGGGGGGGGGGGGGGGGTACGTGCCTTGCCCCTTTTTGGCCACAAGATGGCCTCGGTGGCTTCTGCCTCGCCCGTCTCCCGGTGCCCAGCTGTTTAGAATCACTGATAATCATTAGACAGCTGTTAAAAGCTGCTCTCCTGCCCTCAGTATGAGATAAGGTACAAGGAAGTGTGGGCATGAACATGTTCAGGCTTCTCTCTTCTCCTCGATAACGAGTGCCTATTTCCACCAAGGGCTCCAATAGGAATTGTAATCAGACGTGATTAAGCATAGCTTTCTGGAATACGCGTAGACAGGTTGGCAGCTTGATGAGTGCAAACAAACTGTGAAACTAGCTGTACTGTTGCAGAGAAGAAGCGGATTTGGTTGAAAGAAAGTGTTAAACAGTATAAAATCACAAAAAGGATGCGGAATATAAAGACAATGGGATGTGTAGCCTGTGAGTGTGTGTTGCGTGTGCACGTCGCGGTTGATGGAATGAAATGATGTATAAAGAGCGTACACCATCTGTAACTTACCAGAATGAAAATACTCCAGAAGGTGACATTTGGTCGCCTTATAGCAGCGATCCAAGTCAGCCAACAAGACTTCATTATGCTAGATAATTGGTCTTTGTGGTTTTTCTTCCCAGCAAGAAAATGGCGAAAAGTTTGCTTGTTTTCCACCTTTATTCCCCTGGCGATCACGTGTCACCCCACAAGTAAGGACTCACACGCCTCCAACGGGGCGGCCAAGGTGGTGATGACGTCACCATCACAAGCCCTATAGGGAGCCGAAATCACACCATCTACGTTCAGGACTACAAGTGCACATCACCAAAGTGAAATTGCTCAACCAGACACAGAGAAGAGAAGAGGAAAAGCAGCTATAAGTTTGAACTCCAATCCTTCTTTCGAGAGTAAAGAACTGCCATAAATCTTGCCTTGTGTAAGTAACAGCTACACTGGAGGAGAGGGGGTGTTCTGTCGAAGCACCATATCTTGTCAGATTGGCATACCCATTTTACAGTGCATGGCAGTCTGACAGGCCACGACTGCCATAGTTGTAATCCTACCCCAGTGACAGCATACCTCTGACTGGTATGGTGCCTTGATACAATCACGTGACAGCGACTAGTCGATGACAGGCATAACAAGTCACTACAGAGCGGTGAAGTCGACTAGTGACTAGTTCATACAACCCCTGCTACTGCTCCCCAGAGTGTTCTGCAGCATAATCAGCACGTTCTCTTTGAACTTGATATCAAATTTTCGCCTCCTCTTCGTCTCCGCACGGTTAAAGTTACCCTCGCGGTCTATCAGTGGCAAATCAAAAGTGAGACGATGACACAACCGCCCCCCGTACTTGCTTGCTACCACATTCCACCCGGCCACAATAAGAGACCGGCCATTATTCACCTCCGCCGACTCCGACACCGGCCAAAATGTGATACCCGGCAGTTAATTGAATACAGGCTAATATTAGAGGATTCACGGTATAACAGAAGCTTCATTGTTAACTTGTTTGGATCTTTTCTCAGAATCTGACAACTGATAGCAACAGTGTTGATTCTAGTATGTAGAAATTACCTAGACTCTACAGGATGCATTGCTGCTACGTCCCCCCCGGGTTCTGTTCTTAGGTGTAGCCAGGACAGCTACAGGCATATGCAGCTCCATCTGTAGCCACATGCCTTTTCTGCTGCCCCGGAGCTTCATTCGGCCTCACTGCTGGTTTTCAGGTATGTGGTTGTCTCACTGTCAGTGAGACACAGACGTGTTTGAGCTGTATGTCTCCCTTAGTGGCCCAGGTGTGATGAGTCAAAGGTAAACTACCACCTCTTCCCTATCTCAAAAAGAGGAAATGTTTACACACTCACCATGAATCACATCACTTACTGGAGTGAGTTTGCTCTCAAACCCAAGTCTTCCCGCCAGCGTTGCTGTGGACACCCTACTCATCCATCACCAAGCCTGTAACCAGGATGAACTGGACCAACTGGGACGTTTCCATTGTGAGGGGTGTTTAATTTTGGGAACATGAAATCCTTTCCTCACACACATGAAGATGGAGTAGCTTCAGATGTGGTTTTAGCTGCTGAACGTGGTCCGTTTAATGTAAATCCAGCTCGCTGTCTTAGCCAGTGCTTTGTGGGCCGACGCCTCTTCTTTTGACCTCTCAGCGTACGGGGGCTTTTCACCAGGGTAGTTTCCCAGTCATCTATTAGTCCAAATCTCCTCGATTTCTGGACAAATATCTGCCCGTCTCCACGTAAAGACCAACTGAGGCCCTGCCTGGGACAGCCTGGCTCTGCATGACGTCTGACCTTGAGTGGGTAAGATTACAGGATCTATTTGTAACATCACTAACGTTCACGTTCTCTTTGCTGCGAGCACAGAGCAGCTGATTTCCTGCTGCAGGTGGGACTGTGAACTTCATGTCACAGATGACTGTTTTAAGCCTCCACCGGTACCAGAGTGGAGATTCTGACTAATGACTTCTGCATCGGGGACATCTCAAACATCTCAGCAAACAAGCTCTGGCCTTGTTTGGTCTCAGAGAATCTCTGCAAACGCCTGTAAAATACGCGTTTTTGTGGACAGCGCGCATGTTTTTACAGGCATCGCGTAAAAACACACATCTGGATTTCATTCGTCACATTAGTCAAATCCTCCTATTTGCAGTTTGATTAGACCTGTGACTTGGTGCCGTTGGTTTCGGTAGGCCGAGGTGACAGAACGACTCAGACAGGAAGTGTAGGAATAATCGACATTTATTTCCAGCAAATGACAAAGTTCTGCAGAGTGAACACTCTCCTGGCTGACAGAAGGAAGGCTTTTAAAGACCAACATGAAGACTTGAGACGCAGCAGGACTGCTGGTGTCCATGGGGGGGGGGGGGGGGGGGGGTGTTCTGTGGGTCAGCAGGACTGAGCGGTTTAATTCCAGACTTTCAGGATGTGGATCAGCACCACACTAACAGAAGACTGAGGTTTCCACTTCCTTCAAAGCCATTCTTCTATCACACATGATCAATAAACTGTACTTTATTAATCAAAGCTAAAGAAAGAGAAGCTACTCTGTGGCAAACCTAACTCCTGATTGGTTACTCGAGTCGAGCTTGGCTCTGATAGGTTAAGGCCATCTTGTTACATGAGACGTTTTTCCATCTGTGTGTGATTACTGTTATTAGATGTGGTAATAGGTTTTAACCTCACTGCGTTTTATCACAGCGAGCACAAAATCAGAACTTCATTAGCTTGTTGCAGAAGGAAAACAAAAACAGATCAAACTGAAAACGGTGGCAACAAATGGAAAAAGTCAAAAGGACAAGACAAAAATAGACAACCTTATATATAGAATAAATATGATATGTACAATTTGCTTTGTGTGTTTTTAAAAATAAATAGACAAAGCATTACTTGCCCCTTTGTAGAAGTATGCACAACTTATGGTTAACGTGAGGCCGAACGCCGGCACCTGGTTGCTGAGGGTGATCCAAAGTGTCCACTCTGGTGGACAGGTGTGTTAGAGTCCAGAGAACAGGAAGACTCGGCACTGCCCCCTGGTGGAGGCTTTACAGACTACAGTACTTGTTTACAGTGGTTGATTAAAAAACGAAAACTAAACAATAATCTTGAAAAGTTAAAGCAATCAGGAGGAAACAAAACAACTTTACCTTAAGTGACACGCAAAAAATCATTAAGACCAGAAAACAAAACAAAAACTAGACAATCTAGTTCTGCTCCATGTGCTCTGCATTCTGTTGGCCCCTTTAGAAAAGACAAACCTAAAAAAAACGAACCAAACATCGGATCCTTCTGAGCGAACACCAGGGAGCTAAACGGTAGGAGGACACGGAACAGTTCAGGTCATCGTCACCCACAGAAAGGTCAGGATGAGCATCACAGTCGTGTTGGACAGGGAAGAGAAGGCCTAAAACACCAAAACCTGTTCAGACCAGCAAATGAAACAGGAATCAGCTGGTGGCAGTTAGAAAGGCACTCAGGTCTTTGTGTTTCTTTAGTGCTACACCTCAGTGAGCAGACCCTGAGACAGGTCAAAGGTTAATGAGATAACTGCGAGCTCAGTGGTTGCTAAGCCTGGTTCACATGGCAGGATAATCCAGCTAAATTTAGACCAGGTTCACAAAGACGCAAACAATAACCAAGCCGGCTTCAAAGATAATCTCATCAGACATTCCTGCCATGTGTGGTGTGTCTGGTTTGCTCGGAAGGACATCAGGACCGCTCCAGACATAAATTTGAGCTTTCAAACGTGGGATTGTCTTGGTCCGACTTTGAGGACTAAGAGATGTGCTGTCTGTTGAATGTGACCTGTAGCCAATCAGAAAGCGAGTTGATGGAAGCATGCTGCATGCGCCCTCTCCTCCATATTTAGTTATTCCAAAGGTTGATCCGGAGAGACTTCCCGTCTGACATGAATGTTTATATGTGGAATGGGTGTGGTGTGCATTTCTTGCTGAGTTGCTGCACACCACACCAAAGCTGGTATGTCCATCATCATGTGGATTCAAAAATCCTGCCATGTGAACCGGGCCTTGGACCCACATCAGTCTGGAGCAGCACAACAAACAATTGTAGAGGAAGCTCTGGGTTCTGGTTCCACCGTTTACCTCCCATCCCATAATACCTGGACAGCTCAACTGGGAACAAGAGTGTTTCATCAGTAAAATAAAATGGCCCAGTAGAACCTCAGCAGATAGAGATGGGTCTTACTGGGGCAGCTGGAACTGACAACTCCTGGCCACCCAGGGAGCTAGCTAGCTGTTTTGGGGTTTCTCTACATACTTGTGGCATAACTGAGATGATTCAACCAAAGTTCTTGGTTGCTTTTGCAGGATTTAGAACTTCAAGAGACCCCCCTTCATACAGGCTTTTACTTATAGGGAGCCTGAGTCACGCCCATCGACGGCCGGTCCACGGGTCCACAGAAGAACGAAAAAATGAATGCAAGCCAACGGGGCCAAAAAGGCTAATTTCTAACTCAGCTTGTTTTGTACCATGAAGGTCACACATGATGTCCGTGAACTCTAAAGACACATTTTGATATGAAGAACGCACTCATTTTCAAACGGTGGGAACGATATTTTAGGTTTTGCGTGAAAATAAGTCCAGAACTACAAAAGCGCCTCACGAAAGTGACGTCATCAAACCAGACACGGAGAAACTGAGGGAAAAGGGCAGTCAGTTCAGCAAACTTCAAATGCTTCCTTCAGGAGGAAAGAACCACCATAAATCTGGTCATGTCGTACGTAGCAGCTACGCTAGGGGGGCGGAGACTCTGCGGTGATGTCATATATGTGACGTGCCGATGTAATCATGCTAATTATGAACCTTTACAAGCTGATAAATCTCAAAGTACGTGACTGGCGTGGTCGACGCACCCATCATTAGTTTTCATTTAAATAGCAGTACAACCGTCGACATAAATATACTGGACATTTCGTGTCCATAGGCTCCAATTATAAATGTTTGTGCCAAAAGGGAAGAGAGGTGGAGCTGAGGGTGGGGCTGTAAGGCTGGAATCAAATGACGACACCCGTCGAACTGAAGCGATGTAGCTACAAGCTAACCCAAAGCTAATGTGGAGGTGGAAGCTAAGCTAACAGAGTTAGCAACCTAGCTACAACCGGAGTTAACTGTGCACAACACCAGAGCTTCTGAGTCAGAGATACGCCGGGCTGACCGCTGGGTAAAACCGGGTGGAACACAGAGGTCTCCGAGAGCTCCACAAGCCGATAGTGGGAACCCAGCTCCACCAACATGTTATATTTCAACCCATTTTCTAAAGTGCAGCATTATGTTAAATGCACTGGGTTTTACCCTATTACATTTAAATTTCATGGTTAAACAGTACATGTTAAAATCTAAGCTCAGCTCGGCAGTGACCTAAAATACATAAATATAATTTTACTTACCGAAAAAATGAAGTGGAGACTCCTTGGTGCAATTAATGCCACAGCAAGTCATTTTGTCCAACAACTGCACAAATAATATCCAAACAAGAACACACACACACAGAGACTCAAAATCCCGGAGCAGTTTCCAGGCCAGACCGAGGCTCTACTGAGGTCTTTCCACGGAGCTAGCTCTGTGGTCACGTGGGTCTGATGCTCATTAATTATACAGAATTTTAGGCTTTTAATACACTTAAACAGAAGAGTGAGAAAAACATTCACCCCCCTCAGAGTTGTCATGAGTGTAAACTAGATCATTTAAACCTAAAACATGTTCTGGTACCAGGCTGTAAACATGTTTATTTCTGCTGTGAAATTGGTATTTTTAACATGGGAGTCAATGAGGATTTGCTCGCTTCTGACACCAGCCCCTAGTGGATGAGGATGGAACTGCAATTTATTTCATTTCCGTGTTGGCTTCATCTTCAGACCTGAACTGTGGGGGTTTGAGTACAACATATGTGAGATCCAGGGCGTAAGGCTAAGCGGATTAGAAAAGAACGTTTTAGTCCCGTTGACTTGCTTTCAGTTTTTCGTTCTTCCGGGGACCCGTGAGCCGACCGGAAAGGGAGGAGACTTAAACTCTACTGAGTTCAGGATGTGACCACGGAGACACAGAGACAGTGAGACTGATCCTAGGTGAAGTCAGTCCAGTCCTCTGTGGCAGAACAGCCCTACGGACCATCAGCACTGATATTAAAGCTGATGTTGAAGGAAGCAGCTGAGTTCGAGTCATCTAGCACTTGGTGACGATTCATTCTAGGCTTTACATTTTTGTCTCTCTGGTTTCAAGTGTCTTTAAGGAGAAAGGCTAGCACCCCCATTGACAATGATGAGGATAGTCTGTGCACGTAGAACAGTCATCAAGTCATATCAAATGCATCACATCCCGACAATGTTCTTCAACAAGCAGAAGACATGTTGTAGGACTCAGTAGGTTAGGGTGAGTCTAGAGGCAGAGCTACTGTTGGTGGGACGTGGGTGTGTGGTTGAGGTGTAGAGGTCGGTGTTTCCATGGTAACAGAAGGACACAGTCTGGATTTCTGGTCAACAGTAAAACAGTGTCCTGATATCCTGGGAGATAAAACATGATGTTGTCAACATCCTGCATGAGAACAGCCCTTTCATTGGACACATGCGTGATCAGTTATTGCTCAGGTGTGTGCAGCACACGCGTGTTTAAGCTTCGGTCTTCCTACGGCTAGTGGTGCTCAGTTGCCCAGATTCGAGTCTCTGTCCCCGATGAACCAGCGCATGTGGAAGCAGAGGGCAAGGAAGCCGGTCCCCAGCAGGTCACCAAGGGCTGTCAGGTATGGGATGGAGAAGTTATCAGGGTCCATGCCTCGCCCCCACATCCAGTGAACCATCCAGTCAGCCAGGTACAGCAGGATCATGACCTGTGGTATTAATATTATTATTATTATAAAGCAGGCTGCTGCCCTCTGACCTACATGACTACAGTGGGACTGCTTCTGACTACCTATTGGCCCTTTGCACGTGGTCTCACATCATTCATGGGACCGCCCCCTTCACCATGATGGACAGCATCATGTTTAGCTAGCGGAAACAAGACGGTTTTTACTGCATTTATTTAGTTGACTTCACAATAAAATGGTAAGCGCTTGCTTGGCGGTTGGTTGCACTAACAGGATGTCGCTTAGACAGGCGTGACGGGCAGCAGCTGTCAGTCAAACGGACTAGCAGCCATCATAGTGTTGTGGGATTAGCAGCAAACACGTGTTTCTGGGTCAGATGAATGTTGATGTCTTTCATGAGGGGACAGGGAATGACTGTGATGAGTATATCACTTGTTTAGCAGTGATGATCCCGTATTTCACCATGGAGGACATGCCTTTCTGTCACCGTAGTGAATTACTGGATACTAATAATGTTGTTGCAGAGTAGAGTGTAGAGTGTGTGTGTGTGTTACGATCCAGTCCAATGAAAATCCTGTTTTTTCTGTTTGGCTCAGTTGTCTATTGGTATTTTTGCTACAGTAATACATTAATACGGTAATAAGATGCCCACATTTAAATAATAAACGTCCAAATGAGACGCGCCAAAAGACGTGGAAGTCTAGCAGGTGGGCAAATTTAAGCCACAAAAACTAAAGGTCCAATTTTTACCCAGAATGAACAAACACATTTGCTGCTGATGATCTCAGAGGTCCGGATTGTTGTTAGGAAGTCATCCAACTGCTCTGTCGGCCGCTCTGAGCTCCTCCTTCCCTCCACCTGCTGCTGCTCTGAGCTCCTCCTTCCCTCCACCTGCTGCTGCTCTGAGCTCCTCCTTCCCTCCACCTGCTGCCACTCTGAGCTCCTCCTTCCCTCCACCTGCTGCCGCTCTGAGCTCCTCCTTCCCTCCACCTGCTGCCGCTCTGAGCTCCTCCTTCCCTCCACCTGCTGCCGCTCTGAGCTCCTCCTTCCCTCCACCTGCTGCTGCTCTGAGCTCCTCCTTCCCTCCACCTGCTGCTGCTCTGAGCTCCTCCTTCCCTCCACCTGCTGCTGCTCTGAGCTCCTCCTTCCCTCCACCTGCTGCCACTCTGAGCTCCTCCTTCCCTCCACCTGCTGCTGCTCTGAGCTCCTCCTTCCCTCCACCTGCTGCCGCTCTGAGCTCCTCCTTCCCTCCACCTGCTGCCGCTCTGAGCTCCTCCTTCCCTCCACCTGCTGCCACTCTGAGCTCCTCCTTCCCTCCACCTGCTGCTGCCACTCTGAGCTCCTCCTTCCCTCCACCTGCTGCCACTCTGAGCTCCTCCTTCCCTCCACCTGCTGCCACTCTGAGCTCCTCCTTCCCTCCACCTGCTGCTGCCACTCTGAGCTCCTCCTTCCCTCCACCTGCTGCCACTCTGAGCTCCTCCTTCCCTCCACCTGCTGCTGCTCTGAGCTCCTCCTTCCCTCCACCTGCTGCTGCTCTGAGCTCCTCCTTCCCTCCACCTGCTGCCACTCTGAGCTCCTCCTTCCCTCCACCTGCTGCTGCCACTCTGAGCTCCTCCTTCCCTCCACCTGCTGCCACTCTGAGCTCCTCCTTCCCTCCACCTGCTGCTGCTCTGAGCTCCTCCTTCCCTCCACCTGCTGCTGCTCTGAGCTCCTCCTTCCCTCCACCTGCTGCACGCCGCTGCTTTCTCCTCTCTGCTCAGCTTGTGTGCGAGCGAGCTCGGTCCAACTTTCTAAACTAATCTGAAGAAATGTGGCCCAGCCTGGATTCAAACCAGGTCCTTGTTGAGTGCCGTACTAGAGCATCTGTCCTTGGCTCCGCCCACAACCCAGAGGCGAGGCATTAATGAGCTACGGCCACAATGCAGGAACTAAGTTCTTGAAAACAGCACAGGTTTTGTGATTTAGGCTTCAAAGACCTCTGAGAATGTTTAAGGCAGCTAAAAGAGTTTTATTAGAGTGGGACTTGAAATGACTTTACTTGTTTAACAAGTTATAAGATATCTACGTCCCCTCCACCCGGTGAGAGCAGCACCTGAACTCGGTGACACCCCCCCCCCACAACCAACCAAAGCGGGTAGGGATCAGCTCCAGGTCAAAGTGAACGCTGCTTATAACATCATGTTATAAATCCAGCAGGGTGAATTCTAGCAAAGCCGTTTCCATCGGTGAGCAGCAGCTAGCTAACACTAGCTAACACTAGCTAACCTTCCCACAAATGAACTGGGCTGGAACCAGTAGAAACCAGTCTAAACTGGAAAAAAGTAACCTCAGTCACCACTTTTGCTCTCTGTTCAATACTCTCCCACCATGGCAGACCCAGGTGATCAGGTGACGTAGGTGCAAAGGGTCAGTGAGCCTCCCAGCCCACCTCAGAGGTCCAGGATCAGCAGAAGTGCAGCTGCTTTTGTTTAGGGTTCGGTACCGAGAGCGGCTGATTAACCAGGCATGTGCGAGGAAGTGATGCTGTTCTGTTTCACGTGGCGATGAGACCAACCTGCAGCAGAGCAGCCACCAGGTAGAAGCTGATGAAGATGGGTGTCAGCGTGGTGTGACCCCCCCTCAGGGAGTTGATGGTGTAGAGGAAGATGAGGTGACCCGGGGCAACCAGGAGGAAGAGCACGCGGGCTGAGTGAGAGTTGACAGCTGGAAGAGAGAGTGAAGCTCAGCGCGTGGTTCCCGTTTGCTCTCCTCTGTTTAAAGTCTAAATCTTTGATGTTTAAACTGGATTTTACACTAAAGATCAAGTCAAATACATCATGTCTGCTTCAGAGATGTTCCACATCTACAGACCGTCTTTTGGGTCCTAACTCACTATCTCATCATGTGGCCTTGCTGCTTTAGAGGATCCTAGCATGAGGTACAGCGGCCTGGTGACTTACTGGAGCCCAAGAAAGAGGAGCAGGGCGTGGGACACTTCCTCGGAGTGGGGTCAGGATCCCCCATGGGAAGACCATTCATGTGGAGATAGGTAGAGATCCGGCTGGCCTGGACCGCCACAAGGTTCCCCCCCACCCCTGTTTAATACACACACACACACACGCACACGCACACACTTGATAAAAACCTTAAACAGCAACCAGAAGTATAGAATTAATGTGAAATTTGCCTGATCTTCTAGATAAACTGAAACATTTAGCCGTTGGCAAGTGACCAACAGCCAGCTCGTTCCAGCTGAAGTGTGTTGCTGTACACAAAGATGTGTTAGATGATCTGAAGTAGAAAGATCTAAAAGCCCAGGGTTTTATTTTGTTAGCTTAAATCGCAGAGCTACAGCTCTGGATGATGGCTGCAGACGGGTCCTTGCCCTCCAGCTGGATGTGCACACTGAAAAGTGGGTCTATGTATTCTCATATATGGGATGGCTTGCCTTCTACAACAGGTTCAATGCATTATTTAGAACTTTTACGCAGAAACAGACAGTCAAGCTGATAAATGCTCTGAATGTTTCCTTACCATTGATGACCGGAGTGAAGACGGCCATGCCGGCGAAGTTTGGGTTTGTGACGGTTTTATCGAGGATCAGTCCTCCAACACTGGAAGCAAAAAATACAAACACAGGTCTTTTACTCCACAGACCAAAACAACTTACCACACCATAGCAAGTTTATTTATAAAGCACATTTAATCCAAAGAGTTCAGATGAAGGCAACTGGACTTCTTTGGTTTCTTTAAAACGTTTCACTTCTCCTCTGAGGAGCTTTGTCAGTTCTAACTGGAACATGGGAGAGTCAAGCTCATAAGCTGTAGCTGTCTGTTGTTATTTAAAGAGCAGAAACTACTCTGAGTACCCCGCCTCTCCATCTCCTGATGAGTGGTTAGCCTCTACTGATGGAGAGTCATCGTGTTGATTAGATGCAGGAAGGTGTGGCCTAGACTGAAACTGAATGAGATCCAAAGCTGCATTATTGGTGCTGGAAAGGTGAAATCTAAGCCCCGCCCCTATTTAAAGTGGGGTTTTCCACGTTTGACATAGATAGCTTCTTTTACTCCTCTCTCAAATCATCTATCTTCTCTGTCCAGAATGTGTCCCTTGTCCTTCAGGTGAAGGTGGACTGCAGAGTTTTGACCTGAAGAGGCGGCTCTCCTGTGTTGTGTTATGTTCTTGTGTACTTGTTGTTTAGTTTCTCTAATGTAAACATCTGGACAGTGCTCCTACACTGGACTGCTTAAAGGACACCACTGAGCTTCTGTTTGGGTGTTTTGTCTTCAGGATGGACCAGGTTCTGTCTGAGGGCAAGTGGTGCTCGCTGCAGAACCACAAAGGCGGAGCTGCACCAGAGTCAGCCCCGCCCATTCCAGAGTCAGCCCCGCCCATTCCATCAGAGTCAGCCCAGCCCATTCCAGAGTCAGCCCCGCCCATTCCAGAGTCAGCCCCGCCCATTCCAGAGTCAGCCCCGCCCATTCCATCAGAGTCAGCCCCGCCCATTCCATCAGAGTCAGCCCCGCCCATTCCAGAGTCAGCCCAGCCCATTCCAGAGTCAGCCCCGCCCATTCCAGAGTCAGCCCAGCCCATTCCATCAGAGTCAGCCCAATTCCTTCCAGTTGTCAGACTTGATAGCATTCTGGAACCAAAGAGGGTGTTATAGCTAAAAAATGCAAGATTGAGGACGGAGTTGAGAAGTTAACTGAACAGTTTTTGTAAAGGTTCCATATAATTAAAATTCTAACTTTTGGAACTTTTTACCATGTTATATTGTCATTTCCTCATAAGAAACACGCCAAAGCCATTTTTGGCCTCATTCACACATTTTCCTCCCATCTCAGCTTCAATTTGGTCTCCTCCCCTGAAGCAGGTCTGGTCTTGGTTCTCAAATCTGGATATTCTGTGAATTTTCTGACAAATTATTTCTGAAATGACTTCTACTGAGACACCGCCAATAAACCATACATCCCATCTACAAAGACACACTGGATAGGACAATTACATGTAACACCACCTGCATGTTAACTGATGTGGTGGTGTAGTGGTTATGGAGGCAGGTTGACATGCAGTTTTGCGCTGGTTCGCCTCCCAGTAGCGGAAGTGTTAGGTAGTTTACAACCTCTTTTCTTCATTTCTAGCTACACTTGCCAGTACTATGTTTACAACAATTTACTGGTATACCGTTTAACATATAATGACTAATGTGTTTATTTATTTATTTATTCGTTTATTTAGCCAGTGTGAGTCCATTTGTGAGCAGAGTTTCAACTAAAATGCTGTTTAGGAACGACCAAATTCAAAGAACTTGTAGAGACATAAACATTTTGCTGAAAATAAACATTACAACTAAAATATAAACAAATTAAATGTTTCAGCTGGCTAAATAGATTGCTGCCGACCCCACCGAGAGTCGAACCAGCATCAGCTGAGGGGAAAGCAAATCTTAACTCAGACGATCTCGCCACTGGACTACCAGAACCCATTCAATAGTTTTACATGCTGTTGTAGGCCCGTTCTGTTGGAGCGGCTGTGGGCAGATGTTCTCTAAAAGAAACCTTTTTATTTCAGGATATATTCAGGCTTTGTCATGTAGCAAGTTATATTTATCTTGTTTAATTGGAGCACAGAACATAGCATTAACGACTGTAAACTAGTAACAGCCGTGATTCATGTGGGTCAGGTCAGTTTGCGATAAAGTTGAAAAATAAAAACAGAAGCAGTCAGTGGGCGGGGCTGGGTTTGTGTGAATGGGCGGGGCTGACTCTGGTGCAGCTCCGCCTTTGTAGTTCTGCAGCGAGCACCCTCTCTCTGAGGGTGTTGTTGGGTTAAAGTTTACCGGGATGTTGTGTTTGGAGAAGATTCTTCTAAGTTTGTCTGAGACTCCTGCCACGTACGTGATGGTGGTGCCTTTGTGCCTGTTGGCCTTTTCTTTGCTGGTTGCTGCTTTGGGTGCTTTTCCAGACTTCTTTGTAGATTTCACAAAGGCCCAGTTAGGGTATCTGCAGTTCTGGAGAGCTTTCTTCGTGTGTTTTCCTTCAGTCTTTGTGGGGATGTTCTCGGCCCGATGGTGTAAAGTCCTGATGACCGACATGTAGTGCTCCAGTGGCTGATGTGAGTCCAAATGCAGATACTGGTCTGTGTGAGTTAGTTTCCTGTAGACTTCAATGCTGAGACTTCCATCTTGTTCAGTTAGCACAGCACAGTCCAAGAAGGGCAGTTGGTGGTTGTGGACATCCTCCTTGGTGAACTTGATGTTCTGGTCCACGGCATTAATGTGCTTGGTGAAGTCTTCTACTTCCTTGGTGAGAATTTTGACCCATGTGTCGTCCACATACCTGAACCAAAGGCTCGGTGTTGTTCCATGGTAGGAGCTCTGGTTTCCACTTCCTCCATGTAGATGTTGGTGATGATCGGTGACACTGGGGAGCCCATGGTGCTTCAATGTTTCTGCCCGCAAAACTTGTCGTTATGTTTGAAGTAGGTGGTTGAACGGCAGAGGTCCAGGAGGGTACAGATGTGGTCAGGAGTCAGTTTTGTCCTCTCGTTTAAGGAATCATCTTGTTCCAGGCGTTTCCTGACTGCTCCCACTGCTTCGTCTGTGGGGAAACGTGAAGAGTGAAGTGACATCTTATGAGACGATGGTTTGCCCTGGGGCCAGTTTGAGAACTTGATGTTTCGTAGCAAAATCCACCAAATTCTGTATGTGATGTTGGGTCTTTCCAACCAGCGGGGCCAGGATAGTGGAGAGATGTTTTGTAATGTTGTACGCGACCAAGTTGTTGCTGCTGCTGATGGGTCTGAGTGGTGTTCCTTCCTTGTGAATCTTCAGAAGACCGTATACATGGGGTGGCTTCTCCTGGATAGTCTGTAGTGAAATGATTACTTTGTCCTTTAGCAGTTTCTGTAGATGGTTCGTGATTTCCTTCTTGGATCCGCTTGTCAGGTCCCTCTTTAGAGCTTCATACATGGTGCTGTCGCTCAAAGGTGAGATGACTTTGTTGTGTTCAGAATAACCGTACAACATCCCTTGTCTGCAGGTAGAATTGTGATGTTCTGGTCCTTGCTGAGGGAGGAGACGGCTTTTCTTTCTTGTGGGGATGGGTTAGAAGGTGGAGTCTTCACATTCGAAAGAGCTGCTGTAACGTTGATCCTCAGTTCTTCAGCTTTCGTTCCCCTTAGGTTGTTGCTTCTTATAGCAGATTGTGGGCAGTGATGAAGTCTACTGGGACGATGTGTTGTGGAGAAATGGCAAAATTGAGTCCTTTAGTTAAGACACCCTTCTCTGTTTGTGTGAGTATTCTGTGTGATATGTTCTTCACCCACTGGTGCTGGACATCCATCTGGTTGGTGTCCTCTGGTGGCGATCCAATTATTTCCAATGTTTTTGGCTGTAGTTTTGGGAATTAGCATTGTTGCCATTCTTTGCTCTTCCTGTGCTGCGCTAGTTGAGCCTTTTTGGTGAAGTTGGAAACTTCTTCCAACCCTGTGCTAGGGAGCCGTTGTGAAAACTTCTCAGTGATACTGGAGATCCTGTGGGTAAGGGCTTCTATGGTGGTCTGTCTTATCCGTTCCTTTAGCAGCTGTTGTGCTTTTTAAATAATCTCTTCCGCTCTGTGTCCTTTAATAGTACTTCTAAGTCTCAAGCTTTTGGGAAGAAGACTAGATATTGCCCTACACTTTGGGAAAGACCCATGGAATTGTAAGGGAATATGAGAGAACATTAAGGAAGCTGGCTGACTACAGAAACCACCTCTGCTTCAACCTGAGATGCCGACAACAGTCTCCTTCCAAACAGCTCAAGACTTACATGTTGCACTCTTCGGAGACGCTCAGTGGAGGAGGCAATAACACCAATGAGCACTGGGTTGGCATAGTCCAAACGAGAGGTGATGAATGGGTGAATGACAGACTCCAGATGAGGCCTCTTGACTATGGACTTGAAACAAGTAATGCGGCTCAGTTGAAAGAAACAGGACCTGACTGTAGCATTCATTTGCACAGTCATGGACAAATCAGAGTCCATCACACCCAAACTAGTCACTCAGGATTTAAATTTTAGGAATGGAAGAGAAGTGTCACCAGATGAACGATCCTGATGTGTTGGATTAAAAGGAATGGCATCAGTTTTGTTTTCGTTGAGGCAAAGGAAGCTATCTGAAAGCCAGCGTTTGACTTGAGACAGGCAGTCAACAAGCAGACGAGTGGATTCTGGTTTATTTAAAGCCAAATAAATCTGACAGTCATCAGCGTACGGCTGGTAACCATTCCAGCTTTTGCCTGTCATTCCTATTGGTAACTAGTAAATTGAGAAGAGGAGAAGCCCCAGGGTAGCGGCACAGATGGAGAGGAAAAGTCTTCGATGTAGACGTGAAATCGTCTGTCTGACAGGCAGGACAGGAACCAGTTAAGTGGGGCCCCTTCACTCCTGCCCACAATTCAAGCCTCCTAAGTAGATGTTATGTTCTAGTGTCTCAAAGCAGTTGAGAGATCTGAGAGTAAAAGCAGGACATGGGAACCAGAATGTGGGCAGATTCTATGCTATGGTAAGGCCTGAAACCAGACTGGAAGCAGTCTAGGAGGACATGATCTTCCAGATGAATTGACAGTGGACCACTTTCTCAATAACTTTGGATAAAAATGCAAGTTTGGTCATTTTGTTTCTTTTGCAGGCTGCTCTCTACCTGCTGATGGCCATGGCAATGATGACAGGCTCCCACCCGGAGTACAGGACCTCTCGAGTCGATGGGATCTTCCTGGCTATCAGCACCCAAAGAGGGCACAGGGCCACGAACACAGCACACACCAGTGGGCTGGCGTAGTCATTATACTCTGAATGAAAAATTGTAAAGAGACAAAGATGAATTTTCACACAGTGTGTGTGTGTGTGTGTGTGTGTGTGTGTGTGTGTGTGTGTGTGTGTGTGTGTGTGTGTGTGTAAATGCCTTGTTTGCTAACTGAATCAGTTCAGAAACATCAAAGGACTTTAAGTAGTTTCTGTTCTGGCACATTTTGGTCTGTTTCCACGTTTAACTGTATTTTGTTATTTAAATGTTAATTGTGACACTTCAGATTTGTATAATATAAAAACACAATCAAAACACTTAAAACGTTTTTTTTTGATTTTCCAAAAAGAGAAACAATAAGACATGTCTATAAAATATTCAGGAGAGACTGGGGTTGCTTTCAGTGCCAGGTCCAGACTCAGGAATGCAGCACAGCTCAGCTGGCTCAACAATCACCAAACCACGAAAACAATCTAAGTCTGAGACATCCGCCTGAACAAAAATATCTCACTTGTGCTCAATTTAGAAGCTAAGAGGAGCAACAAACATCTGCAGGAGCTCCAGGATGACTGAGTCTGCAGCTGGGCGTGTCCTGGCTGAACACAAGCACAGCCACACAGCTGTGGGGCTTCTCACCCTGGATCACAGCAAGAGCTGGGGTGGGGGTGCTTTCATCTTTATTTGCTGCACACAGCCAGGAGCAGAGGCTCTCCCCCTCACTACTCCAAACATGACAAAAGTGTTTGAAGCTGGACCAAAACATCAGGATTTCACCATCAGAACACACATCCCATAGAAATCCATCTGCCTAGGATTGCTGACACGGCATAGTCACTGTCAGTCCCGCCGTTACGTCGATTTGGTCCGAGATGGACGAGCTGCTCTCAGTCTGGCTGGGACGCAACAAACCCGCTCCAGGTCAGCTCTACGACAACACGCTTACAGAAATGATAACCACGGGAACTCGTGTGTAATGACTTAAATGTGATCCCACAGCCAGCCGTACAAATGGCAGACTGCTCCATAACCTCACAAACATGGCCCTACAGAACATTACTAACAGCAACGCTTCGTGAAAAGTATTAAAGCACGATCAAAAATCATTTAAATAAACATATTGCTGTATAACTCAGAAGGTTTCAGGTGTCACCACAACATTAGTCTCATTATCACTCAACATCATGCTAGACTTTTATAATATTATCAGAATTTATTGTATAATAATATTTATGATTATTGCTTAGAAGAAAATTATTAACAAAAACACTCATTTCCTCTGGACTATCACAGTATTTTTAAAATTGAATTTGAAGCTTTTTTTCTTTTTTTTTTTTTACCCCAAATGAATAAAAACAGGAAAATGAAAGACTTCCATCATTCAGTAACAAACTAGGTGTGTAGGTGAGAGCCGGTCCTGGGACAGTTACCTAGCTCCTTGTAGAGCCCAGTAGAAATGCCTGCCAACAGGGACAAGGTGATCAGGTCTCCCAGACTAGCTGCGATGGGCGTGGCCACATTGTCAGGGTTGATGCCGACTTTTCTGGATGCGACGATCACACCGATCATTATGAGACCTGCAGGGTTAAAATCAGAACATCTAAGGTGACCTGTTCAGCAGAGAGGGTGTAGTATGCACCATCAGCTGGGCCGGCGGTGCAAGTCTGAGTTTTAAATGGTCAAACGCCCGTAGTCAAGCTAACACTTGTCTTTCTGACCCAGTTCGTCTAAAGCAGGATGACATTAGAACACAAGCAAACTTGTAGATGGAGCTGGAACAGCTGTCCTGAGCCCTCGGCGGCCTTTGAAGCTCCAGGGCAGATCACCAGGGTGGGTTAGCACCAGCATGGTGGATCACAACACTGCTCTAGCTGGTCTACTGGTTAATCAGCTCTTTTACACCAGTAACCATCCAGCTAACTACAAGGCCACTATGGGTAATGTTAACCCTAACCGTGATCAGCCATCACATCTCAAACATAAGCACGTCCACAGAACATTCCCAGTAGCATGCGGTGCCAGGAATAAGAGCTAAAGCGTTGGTAGGTGTGACGGCTCGTTCCTAAAGCCCAGTTTACACGTCTCCGTCAGCCAGTCAGCACTCACGTATGGACGGAGACATCTTCCTGGGTGCAGGTCTGGTTGACGACAGTTTACTTACTTCAGCATATAAACACAAATATATTCATGGAGTGAGTTTCACTGAACTGGGACTGCCTGATCCGGAGGAATGAAAACTTTTGCTACAAAGAATTCAACAGGGCCGAAGAAGATGGTGTCGTCGGAGGAACGTCTGTCCACTGAGCAGGACAAGGCAGAGGACAGGCGAATATGTGGCTCTTGTTCAGTCTTTGAGGGACATTGATGGTGAAACATACTTCAGATAATTCTTATTGCTCTAGAAGTGGCGTCATCCTGGAAATGGTCATGGCCTCTTGTTGGGCCCACGTGTGCTTTCCATTGCATTCTATAGATTTTTTTAAAAATCGGGCTCAGCTTCATCCGTCTTTGCGAGCCGGTTGGAGAGCCCGAGCATCACGGATAATGGGGCTGTGTGTCTCCGCACCAGTGCAGCTGGAGAAGTATTCACTAGGAATAAGGACGGCGTCACACCACTGAGCAGAGGCTGTCATGCAGAACCGTCTACAAAGTCCCTGGAAACCCTGACAAGCAGCTGTTGACACTACGGACATGACTGAATGTCTGTCTGGCCATCATACCCAGGAGCAGAGAAGCAATGAAGGCAGTAGCCACACTGGAGGCACACAGCAGCACCACGTGGCCCATCCTGAAGTCTCCCTCTGGAAGCCAGCCAAAGATTACAGCAGCAATGGAAGCCAAGAACCCCACAACAGTGGCCTGGACCTGGAAACACACACACACACACACACACACACGCACACACACGCACACACACACACACACGTCAGAGCTGCCTTCAGTCTGTGTTTCAATAGAATTGATAAATCTGCTCTTTGCATCGACAAACAGTGTTTATGGATCCTGATTAGAGATCAGTAGAGTGTTTACACACCACAACTGTGTTTTAAACAGAGTTTATGAAACAGACTGGTGATACGTAGAAATGTGAATAAGCATAATCCTAAATTTCTTTTCAGTACAGTTGCTAAACTTACACAGAATCATAGCTCTGAGCCATCTATTCCCTTAGCCCTCAGCAGCAATGACTTCATGGGATTTTTTACAAGTAAAATTAATTCTATTAGAAACAAAATCTTTAGCATCCTCCCTAATGCGATTTCTTCTTCCTCAGTAAGTGAGGCAGCATCAGAGGTGACTGTAGAACCTCATCTGTGCTTGAACTGTTTTGATCCAGTTGAGCTTTCAGAGTTATCAAAAATATTAGCTTCATCTAAACCTTCCACTTGCATTTTGGATCCAATCCCAACCAAATTATTTAAAGATGCATTTCCTTTGGTTACTGCCCCCATTCTAGATACAATCAATCTATCCTTAGTAAATGGGTATGTACCACAGGGTTTTAAGGTTGCTGTAATCAAACCTTCACTTACCACTTTAGGCGCCATAGTTTTTTCAGTAAAATGAAATTTTTATATCACTATTTAAGAGCTTGTAGCTTAAATCTGGTTAGAGATAGAGGAATATTGTAATTTAGAAAAATCTTCAGTATGAGCCAAATTTTGTGATAGGAACAAATTCACTCACATAATTTGCATATTGTGACGTCATCATGTGGCAGCCATATTGGATAGCATCACATTAGCAGATTTTTTTAAATGTTTTTGTCTTATTTTTTGTGTGTTGTTATTGTTTATGATACATATATACATATTCCTATTTAGACATATATAACTATGTATGTATAAATATATAATATTTATTACTTTATTGGTATTTTGTTATGTTTACTACGTATCAATCAAGAACACTGTTTTTGGTGCTTTAGTGTCATGAACACATTTCACTCATCCCTTCTTTGGTTTATTTGTTTATTATATATATATATATATATATATATATATATATATATATATATATATATATATATATATATATATATATATATATATATATATATAATCCACAATCTCAGGCTTTTCCACAAGCCCCGTGCAGAACTGAATGAATGCTTTCATTTCTGGGACAGTTACATCGTACCAGTCATTATATCTGGAGCTAGATTTCAGTCCCTCCCTCTCTAAATACTGGTGAGCATATCGGTTAGTTTCAGTTGTGATGAGGGTCCAGAATTCCTCATCCAAAAAAACTGACACAAAATCAATGTGTTCTGAATCTGACAGATCCCTGTCTCCACAGTATCCAGCTGGCTCATCAAAATGCCTGATCCACTTGGAATACTGCTCCTCTTCTCCCAAACTAACCCAGCCATCATCATTTTTATTGTCACTGAGGCTGTGTTGGGCCACCCCCCTGCTAGCAGTAATGTTTTTTCCCATGGTTCCTCCCCCTCCTGCTGCAATTCCCGCAGGTTACACCCCCGGGGCTGAATCAATCACCAGCGGAGTTTTCACCGGCCCGATCACCGCCACCACATCCCTCCCCATGGAAGTGACGCGGGACATTGCACAAGGTAAGGGCTGGATGGTCTGCTTGTGTAACCGCGTCATCGCTGACAGACTCCCTGTTGCTGCGCGCTGAAGCCACACTTTCCGTCTCGCTAGAAGACCGCAGGTCATCCTCGGAAAGGAAATATTCTTCCTCCGAATCCAAATCTGCCAGTACTAGACAAAGAGCTTTGTCAGCAATGAACATTCCCCTCAGCATTGTTTTTTTCCTCTACCACTCGCTCGCTCTCACTCGCTCTGACAACCTCCACGACTCTGCGACTGGTGGGCGGGGTTCAAGCTCTAAATACTCCAAAAGTTTGAATAAACACACCCACAAATGCTGCTGGATTGAAGTTACAGGTGTTTGCCACCCCGCAGTGTAATGTATTAACTACATGAGGGCTCATTTCTGCTGCTGTGGCTTATTAAATCCAACATTGATGCTTGTCGCAATTCTGCGACTTTGGCGCTTAAAGGGTTAAGAAGCCTTCTCTGGATCCAGATGACCCAATGAATTATAGACCAATATCTAACCTTCCATTTTTATCCAAAGTCCTGGAGAAAATAGTGGCCATCCAAGTATGTGAGCATTTAAACACTAATGCTCTGTTTGAGGAATTTCAGTCTGGTTTTAGAGAGTATCACAGCACTGAAACTGCATTAGTGAGAGTTACAAATGATATTCTCATGGCCTCAGATAAGAATCTTGTGTCTGTTCTAGTCTTGTTAGATCTCAGTGCTGCCTTTGACACAGTTGATCACAATGTTCTTTTAGAAAGACTTGAACATGTTGTAGGGATCAAAGGAACAACGTTAGGCTGGTTAAAATCCTACCTGTCTGACAGATTTCATTTTGCAAATGTACATGGCAAATCTTCTTCATACTCCAGGGTTACTTGTGGAGTACCACAGGGTTCAGTGCTTGGACCAATTCTTTTTACTATATATATGCTCCCAATCGGTAAAATCATTAGACAGCATGGGATAAACTTCCACTGTTATGCTGACGATACTCAGCTATATTTATCCATTAACCCTGATGAACCTAATCGGTTGGGTAGATTACAGGCTTGTCTTGAGGAAATAAAACAATGGATGACTCTAAACTTTTTGCTTTTAAATCAAGACAAGACGGAAGTTCTCATCTTTGGATGAGAAATCCAGAAAAGTAAATTGCTTAGCCAATCACCTGACCTGAATGGCATTACATTAATCTCTGAGAACAAAGTAAGGAACCTTGGTGTTATCTTTGACCAGGACATGTCATTCAAATCCCAGGTTAAACAGGTTTGTAGGATTTCCTTTTCCCACCTTCGGAATATTGCTAAGATTAGAAGCATACTTTCCAGGAGTGATGCTGAAAAACTAGTTCATGCATTTATTACATCAAGACTGGATTACTGTAATTCATTACTCTCAGGAAGTCCACAGAATGTTAGAAGTTAAAAGTCTTCAGCTTGTCCAAAATGCTGCAGCTAGAGTTCTGATGAGAATTGAAAAGAGAGATCATATCTCTCCTGTCTTAGCTTCCCTACATTGGCTACCTGTTAAATTCAGAATAGATTTTAAGATACTTCTTCTCACATATAAAGCTCTTAATAATCAAGGTCCATCATACATCAGTGATCTGATTGTTCCATATGTTCCTAACCGAGCACTTCGCTCTCAGACTGCAGGTCTACTGGTGGTTCCAAGAAAATCTAAAAATAGGATGGGAGGCTGGGGTCACATTTATCAAACATGGCGTAGAATCCTTACTAAAACTGTACTTAAGCTCAGTAAACAAAAAAAAAGGTGCTTACTCCAAGCAGGTGTGTGATCTATCAAACATGGAGGACGCACAGCTGCACACAATCTCCGCTTCATAAATCAGAGACTAACGAGAATGTTTCTCAGCTGCATTTTAGTCTCATCCCTCCCTCACCACGCCCACTTACTGCCATAAATAGTCAATGCAAAGTGCCTTGTGGACCTCATGCATATACATAAGCCGGCTTGTTGCAGCATTTCGATCACGACCACAGATCAAGGAAGCACTATTTCACAAGCAGAAGTTGAGGTACCTGTGGGTGAGGTGGAGAAATGAAAGGAAGTGCTTTTGCAAAACAAATAAGAGAAAATCCACAGAGTGGCACAGCGTTGCTGAAGCCGTCAATGTTGAGAATTCTTCAGAGAGATCTGTGGCGGATATAAAAAATGGTCCAATCAGGATTTAATCCCCAGACTCCCGAGTGAAAGTCACACGTGCTAACCAGTTAGCCAAATGGAGATCTCCCCTGTACAAGTAGCCAGGGCGCATGATCAATCGGGTCACAGTGACAGGACACACACTGTCACACACGCATGATGTTCTGTCTCACTCTGTCCCCCTGCTGATATTCTGCATTCTGCGCTTCAGGCTGTGTGTGTGTGCGCGCACACGCGTGTGTGCGTTTGTGTGTGTGTGTGTGTGTGTGTGTGTGTGTGTGTGTGTGTGCGTGCGTGTGGGGGGTCTTGTTCTGTGTGAAAACAAAGCGGTACAAGTGATAATGCTGCAGGATTTCATAATTGTATCTTCTCAGCAGCAGCACTGCAGGTGCTCTCCATGTCCAACACGTGTGTAAGCCAGGTTCTTAGTCAGCTTAAAGTTGTGCACATTTTTCCGCTAAGTTTTCTTTCATGAATCCCAAAGTTTGCGTGGAAAGTTGCTTACGCAGTTTTCCGACCCCGTTTTGTGCGTAAGCAAGCTTGATGAATGAGGCCCCAGATCTTTTAGTTATCAGGCTCCTCTCTTGTGGAACCAGCTCCCAGCTTTAGTCCGTGAGGCAGACACTTTGTCTACTTTTAAGAATAGGCTTAAAATATTTTTATTTGAAAGGGCCTATGGTTAAAATCTGATGTTAGCCTAGATCTGGACAAGTGGGGGAGTAGAGGGAGGTGGAGTGTACAGTCGGTAAAGACGGCTCTCCCTTGCCCTGCCTCCAACATGCCTACATCTAAATAGGATAGATTATCCAGAGTTATCTCTGTAGTTATGCTGCTATAGGCTTAGACTGCTGGAGGACACACTGACCACTTTCCACACTCTACTGCTTTCTTCTACTATCTGCTCTTTAACTGTATTATTTCCTGCTATTTCAGCTGTTAACTTTATTTTTCTCTAAGTGTTTTTCTCCCCAGAAGAAGCTACAACGATGTTCTGCTGAGCTGTGGTGGCCTCATGGAGGGGACCATCGTCTAGCACACTGCTGCTAACCACTTAAACATTCTCCCTCTCCTGATAATAACTTTTTGGTTTCCTTGACATTGGATGTGCTACTACTAGTTTATCCGTTT